ACACACACACACACACACACACACACACACACACACACACACACTTCACTACACAAAATGATGTTTTCCTCAAATATGAGTTCTTATGCTTTTAAACTGAATCCTAAACACTTCAAATGATGTTTAAAGTTGAATAAATACACAGTGTACAGATAAGTATACAGATCTTCTGCATGTTGTTTTGAAATAATTAAAAAAATTCAGAGAGATGATCCGGAACAACTTTCTGCACACAAACTATAGGTGTAGATTGATGCACACATTAAGAATCAGCCTCAAATAAGTCATTAACTGGAAGAGAGTCCATATTTTAGAACAATATGTAAATACTGCATTTTTCACATAATTTCAAAAACGATCTGTTTTTGAGRCTCCGTCTGCAGCACAAGTTCATTTTAGGAGACTTCTATAAAAGGTGTTTGTTTTGAGGTTTCGAGGTGACACGAGGACAGATCTGCAGCTCTTTCAGCCTCAACAAACAACCTTTTTTTATTTTTATTTCTGACTACATCATGGAGCACGTCTAAAAAGAACAAATAGTCCATCATGCGTCACTGAAATATTGAAAAACAAACATTAAAGCATCGCTGAGACATGAGTTACCGAGCCGTRGAATATAACAAAGTTCTGCTTCGAGCTAAAAAGCTTTTTTTTTTTTCACAGTTAAAGTTTTGTTTTTAGCTGAAGCATTAACTATAACTGAAATTCTTTACTTCAAATGAAAAGATTGATTTCTAGGAGAAAACGGCACATTTTCTTCCTCTGTCGCCCACATGAGCAACGGAGGAACAGTTTGAAGAGAATGAGAGGAAGGTCTGCTGAGGGCAGGGCTGTAATTAAAATCCCTTTTATTTGAGCAAAAAAATCAGCTTCTGTGTGACCTGATTTTCCTCTGAGATTTCAAAACAGTTTTATCATTAGGAATTTAGATRAGACAAAGTCCTCAAAATCTTGAGAATAATCAAGATTAATGCCCAGAGTGTGTTTAGAAGGATTCTCAGCTACTACCGCTCCAAAACTTAGCTCATTATCTGTTAAACTGGCTGAGTTAGTCATGTTTTTATGTGTTTTTTTAAGGTCATGGCGGCCATCTTGAATTAGTCTGGCTTTACTGTACTGTAGGTGCACACCCTGTGGTTATTTCCTGTAAGTGAATGTTTCGAACAATCGTTCAAAGACACAAAGTGTTAACTTTCACCAGGACAGGATGTCTGTTTGCTTCGTTTTGTGCAACTCTGATAAGATAAGTTAGGGATCAAAGCAGAAAGACTCTGAGCAGATCTGACTGGGAGTTGAACGGGACACRATGTTTTTTGTTTTGTTTGTTTTTCAGGAAGTTAATGAAGTTTCTCGTGCACAGACACGTTGGTGAAGCTCTCACTGCAACAACAGGTCTGAGCCAATCGTCTCAAATTGTTTTATGTCATCATCTCAGGCGGGGAACAACTTCAGGAATGAAACTGTTCAAACATTTTGTACAAATCAACCTGGTTCTAACTAATCAGATGGAAATATTGACCCGGTAATGCACAAAAACAATATGGTTGTATAATTATTTAAGTAGGAACTGTTGCTTTGTTTGAAGCCGCGAGACTGACGCAGGAAGTCTGAATGTCAAATATTTCCTTCTTTTCAGAGGAAGTATGATTGTCCAGCATGCTGTAGATGAAACAGAGATACTTTTGTTTGTACAACTCGTGTCCTCGCCTGAACCGGCAGCTCTGAGCTGTCCTCACGTGTCCTCTCTCTCTCTGTTACACAACAGCTTGATTTCCCATGAAAACCACAACCATCCCTGGAATCTGAGCATCTCTTCCTCTTTGTGTTTGGATAGTTTTAAACTCTTCATCGTTCACRTGTTTGTTATCAAATTATCACATAAAGAAAAGAATCACCAACAGCTGGACTGGACCCAAATCAAGATGGCTGCCACAAAAACACAGAATTGCTTCAGTTAAATTTACATTATTGAGCTAAAGTTTGACGTGGTAGCTGAGAGTTGTCTCCGACACAAACTCTAAGTGTTTTGTGTTTATTTTCATGCAYCGTAAGTCACTCAGTTTCTCTTTTCATAACTTTATCTTAAGGTTTAGATGAAAAAAAATGTGAATTTTTCTTTTCAGGTGAAAAAAATTGAATGATTTAAACAGTTTAGATCCAGTAACATAAAAATGAGTTTCAGAAAAATGTTTTTAAGATGTATTATTTAAATTATCAGTGGTTTCCAGAAGAACTGTTGTCTCTTTAAAGTTATTGTAATTTGTGCTGAG